TTTTTTTTTTTTTTTTTTTTTACCAAATAGGATGGCTAAAAGAAAAAGGTAACAAAAAAAAAAAACAGCTAGATTCTAAGGTGAATGTAGAAAACTAAAAACAGGAACATGTCAGCATTGGACCCTGCCAGGAGTCCAACAGATTCTTAAAGCCACTTAGAAAGGTGGAGGTTGAGAGCGTCAAATATTTTTGTAAAATATTCCAGGAAACAGGAGCGGAATAGGAGAAGGCCCTTTTGCCAAGTTCAGTCTGCACTGAGGGGACACTGCAGGTAATAATGTCCTGAGAGCGCACGCTGTAGCTGCACTCACGCAGAGACATGTAGGAGATGTATGAAGGCAACAGACCAAGAAGTGATTTAAAGATGAAAATGTACCAGTGGGAGAGTCTGCGTGAAGTTAATGATGTCCAGTTAACCAATGAATACAGGGTGCAGTGGTGGGTACGATAATCACAGCCAGTTATGAATCTTAGTGCACCATGATAGACAGCATCCAACATCTGCAGGGTTCTTGTAGGAGCGTTCATGTAAATAATGTCACCGTAATCAATTGAGGGAAGGAAAGTCACAGATACAAGGCGTTTTCTAGCATTCAGGGTTAGACAGGATCTGTTTCTGAAAAAGAAACCCAGTTTAACTTTCAGTTTCTTTACCAAGTTTTCCACATGGAGTTTAAAAGAGAGATGTGAGTCGACCAAGACACCCAAATATTTACAGGAATCAACAAACTCAATGGGGACACCATTTGAGGATAAAATCGGAGGAAGAACTGCTGGGACCAGTTGAAAATGTTCTCCTCAAAACAAAGTTCCTTTAAGTTCTCATATCTCCAACATGAAAATAAAACTCTGTGCACACGAACATGCATGTGGGACAGATTCAACCTTTATTTATACATTTTACACTCGTTGCGTCACGAGGACTCATTTACAAGAGACAGCTGTTTTATGCAGATGACATAAAAGTACAGATGCTTCGGCAATGCACAGATCAGTTTTGGGGGTTTTTTTTCTGTCTGCCTTACGTTTACTGTTAGGAGTGAGAGACACAGGTGTGCCGTTACCACGGCGACTGATGTTTTTTTTTTTTCTTAACGCTACGACCTCACACTTTTATTTTAAGTTTGCATCAAAATCATATAGCAGGACTATTATTACTGAGTGTGTACTCGATAAATTTAATCAAACCATGAAACCCGAGGCCGTGCTTTCATTGCAGACATGTGCTGACTTGTTAAAGCAGCAGAAACACAGGTGTAACTGATTACATTAAACGCTCTAATCAAGGGGTTTGTGGCACGAAGGCATCATTACTGCTCACAGTGGTGCTCTTCCTGCGACGTGTCACAACAGCTCACACAAGTATCAAACAACCACTGGTAGACACTAAACGTGAAAGTTAAATGCAAGGCGCTGTTTGCTTTCTTGTGTAAGTATTAAACTGTACAAGCCCCAAGTCTAACAATGCTGTAAAGCGTTTAGCTGCGCCCTCAGTTTCCGCTGCCGACCACCAGGTGGCGGGAGAGGCGCGCCGGAGGCAGGAAGTGCAGCGACGGTAAACAAACAAAGACCTTCTCTCTTACAGCAATATATTAGCTTAATTACATTCCTGGAAGTTCTTTTTTGGTTGGAACCCAGTTAATGACATTTGTTTTATTATACCAGCTTATTGCTAGCGCTACAAAAGCCCCTCTTATCGTCGTGGTCTGGTCCTGTTTTTCAATTTAGATTAAATTAATGCCAAACGAAGGAGGAAGTTTTTAAGAACAATTTACGGCGCCGTGACTCAGAAACAAACATTTGTCCTTTCAGTCCTTAGGAAAGAGCAAGAAAGTAACTCAGCCAGGGGAAAAAGAGTGCTGGCGAAACTAAAGCTGAAGAGGCAGCCAAGTCCAGAGACCAGTCCTCCATATGTGGGTCAAGGTCTGTTTCCAGTCTGTCCCCTTCAGAACATTGCAATACTAAGGCAAACTCAGAGGATAAAACGAGTACATAAGTATTTGTCTGCACGCTTTGGGCTGTTTTTGCCCCTGTATGTGTGTGTTAGCAAAATATTTCATGAACCACTGGTCAAATTGGAACCAGACAGTAATCAGTGAATAGTGCATCTACACCTGAGTCTGATCCCAACACTTATTCTGAAGGCTAACATCAACTATCTGGATTCTTTCTGCTTGTTAGCAAAATATCTTCAGAACCGTTGGATGGATTATAAAGTCAAAGTTTATTTATTTGTTCGCACCACGTGTGGTGGAACGGACTTGTGTACACAGGGTCCCAGTTACGTCCAACACAAGTATTAAAATGTAAAGAACGACAGTAAACAGATTTAAGATATGAACTGAGAATAAGCACTACTAGTACAAAAACAATACGCCGAACGGCAGCAGCACAAAGACACGATGACACTTTCAGGAAATAATCATTGAATGTACAACTCAATAACTTTTGGAGTCAGTTCATTTGAAATTAGCCCCCACACGTCTGTCAAATGTACAGATACTGAGCTGTTTCAGGGTGGTAGTAGCGGAGTCATTCACTGCACATACTTTGAGCATGCCATCTTTAAATCAAGTATATTATTTTTAGGGGTTGACCAGTACGACTGCAACTCTGTCCCTTCTCATCGTAAAATCTTGGGATTAAAACTCCGTCGTGAAAGGCATCAGGTTATTAAGCATTCTTTAATTGAATGCTAGGCGTTTTAATTCCAACTGTTTGTGTTTATTTTGGTGACAGGCTGCAGAGGTGGAGCTGCCAGGTCCACGTGCCTGCAGGGTGTGTGTGGAGGAACAGGCTTCACTGGCCTTGACAACTTTTATCTGCAGGAAGAAGACACAACTGCGACTCCAAAAGCACCGAAGGACAGACAAAACACCAAGTTGAGTGAAGCGGCTTTAAGGGCACATCAGTTCTGGTGGCCACATTAATATTTACGACGCTGACTGTTTAGACTAATTGTCTGATTATCCTCTCTGTTTCAGGATTAGTCTTCTTTTGGATGGAGTTGGTGCAGAAATCTCCCAGATCCTTCTGATGCCCCTCGTTGGATTTGGGGAGGAACTTCTTTGGTGAAAATATGCGGGTCACAGCAACCTGGGGTTGCCTTAGCAACCACTAAGGAACGTGGAGTTACCCTGGCAACAGATGAAATGAGGGGTTACCCTGACAAAAACGCTACAGGAACTCATTTAACAAACCCTCGCTGTCCTTTTTCAGACAGACAGCTGCAGACATGACAGTATACGACAGTATTAATAGAGTGAAAGGTACGTTGATGCGGCACAAACATATTCCCACATCTTTACTTTCAAACACAGGCTAAGCCCGAGCATTCACCCTGCTCGGGCGCTGTTTGTGTGCGCACCGCTAAATCACTGTGACGTCTAGAATTTATTTGGAGCACATAAAAGACAAACTAACAAGGTCCGTACAAAACATCAATTTATTTTCTTTTGCCTATACTGAAGTTAAATAGAACGCTGTTCAAAGCAAATGCGCCCTTTTTCCAGTTTCTGTGGTGACTCTGAGTACTGTAAACTTAAAACAACATTGTAGTTAACTTAGCTATTGAAACCATTTGACTTTATATTGGCACTAAAATACACAACGGCTGTGGTAGCAGGCATGCACCGCAGAAAACTAAGAGCACAAAAACACATCTAACGCATTAAACAAGAAGAAGCAACGTTATTTAGACAAGTTCACGTTTGCATTATTGCATTTACACGGTCCAAGGGCTAGTAAACTACTTTGGGAGTTATACAGTTACATATAAACACACTGAAAGAAGCGCTGGAGAACACGGACAACAAAATGACATCACCACATCTATAATCAACTGTTGGCAGGTTCTAAACAATTCCCTAAGACAGTTTACTTAAGTGAAGACTGAGTGGAAAATGTCCCGCAGCATGGAGCTTTGATTTCAGTCATATGCACAACTGATCTGACATCAGTGTTTCGGAGTGGCTGCTGCCGAAGGTGCAAGTAAGGTCTACTCGTCTGGCTTCCTCTTGGGTTTCTTTGGGTTGCGCGAGCGGCTTTTGGCCTTGCATAACGGACAGATGGGAGCGTTGCGATGAATCTGCTGGTGGCAGGACAGGCAAGCCTGGAGAGGACAAGTTCAGAGGAAACGTCACGCTTTGAGATCTGTAAGCGTTCAAGCAGTTATTTGTTTACCTGGTCAATAAACGTAGACGTTTCTACATGTGCTTCTGTTTTATCTAACGTAGCAGCTGTCTCAGTAAGCATTATCTTTGCTGCTTTGTTTATGAGTGTGTCCTTAGAGCTGTGCATTTCAAAAGGCAACGTGTTTATGTGTGTCTGGTGTCATTTATATCTGGAAAGGTTAGTAACACATAATATAAGCCCAACTCCTAAAAAGTTGGAAAGTTGTGTAAATTATAAACGAACAAAATACAATGATATGCAAATCTCGTGAACCTGTATGTTATTCAGACGAGAATATGGTAAACATACTAAATGTTCAAATTAAGAAACTAGTTATTTTGGTGGAAAAAAAATAAGGTATTTTATGGCAAAACCCAAAAAAAAAAAAAAGTTCAAGTTCTCAAACAAAGTTGGGATGGGGCAACAAAAGGCTGTAAATGTAAAAACAGCTGGAGGAACATTTTACTTGAGTCAAGATGAATTAACAACATGTCAGTAAGAGGACTGGGTATAAAAGGAGAATTTAAGAGAGACTGAATCTCTTAGAAGTAAAGATGGGCAGAGGCTCACCAGTCTGCCACAAACTGCATCTAAACTACTGGAACAATTCCAAAACAACGTTTGTCAATGGAAAAATAAGACGACTTTGGAAATCTCAATATCCACAATTTCCAACATGAAGAAACTTTACAACTGGAAAAATCTCTGCGCAAAACAAGGTTGAACAAAATGCACAAAAGCTCATATGGGATGGCTGTGATTTCTGGGCTCTAAGGCAGCACTGTACTTAAAACAGGTCTAATTCTGTTGGGGACATTACTGTACAAACAGGTCTCTTATTAACGAGTCCTCGAGGCTCAATGGAACTAAACTGTATAAATAAATGTTGAATGGGCTCAGGAAGACTTCCACAATTCATTCTCTGTAAACACCGTTCACTGTGTCATCCACAAATACTGGCTAAAGCTTGATCAAGTAAAGAAGAAGCCACAGATGAGCAGTTTTCTAATTCTCTTCTTAGGAAATACTGCACACCATGTTTCCACAACTAAAGAGGACAGATTTGTTATCAGCGCACAAACTCTTACAGTATGGGGGTGCATTAGTACATGGGCAGCTTATTTGGAAAAGCACCATCAATGCAGAAAAGTATATACAGGTTTTAGAACCAAGAAGACGATCCAGGAACTGTTTAATTCCTAAATCAGATGCGAGTGGGACAACGTTCCCTCCAAACACTCCAGTAGCTGGTCCTCTCGGTTCCTAGACGTTTACAGACTAGTTAAAAGAAGAGGGGATGCTTCGTGGTCGTGTCCCAACATTTGAGAAATGAAAGGCGTTTGCCTAAACTGTTCTGTATGACAAAACCAGGAGCTAGAGTTGCAGGATAAACAGGCACTTGAAGAACATCGATATCCCGCTGGTAAAAATACTAGTGCTGGTGTAATCAGTGTTCTCATGACAGCCATAATTCTAGTTTTATTGTACGTCAGTGTGCTGGATGAAAACTGTGTTTGAGTGTGTGTAGAGGTCTGCTTTCACTTATAAGACTTTAGGGTTACAATACAAAGCCAATACACCAACAGCCAATAGTTTGCTGCTCAAAAGACACACAACAAGAAGTCTGCTGGCAAAACAAAACCTGTAAACGTTCATAGTCTAACCAGGAGTGAGAAAAGGCAACCAATTTGGAAGAAAACAAACACCAACTTAAGCGGACGTATTAAAAAACAAGTCTCTACTAATTCTAAACTTGCTGAGCTTCACAGGGGAATGGTTAGCCACAGACTCCACTTAGTGTAGTTTTCACACCATCCCATCTTTATTTCCATCCAACTTTAAATTAAATTATTCTGCATTTGCTGCGCTGCACCTAAAACTGTTTTGCTCTTAATAATGACGTTCCTATAATCCAGTACATTCTCATCAGGAGTTGCATAATTAACTTGAACCAGCAGAGCAGTTTTAAATGTTCCGACACAATCTTAGCGTATATTAAAAAAAATAGCACAGACTGTGGATAAACACGTGTTTATGAACTAAACTTAATGCAGTTGCTTTAAAATAAACATTAAAAATTCTAAGTTACTCAAACAAGCAGAGTAATTTTTACTATGTGAAATGCGGTGGTGGGCACGGTTTCGCTAATAGTGGAAGTAACTTTCCGTTTAGCGGTATAGCATTTTTTGCTAACTTTGAAAACCTTTAGTGGAATTAGCTTCTGCTAAATTTAGATCCAATAAATTCAAGTCTACAACTTTTTTAAAGACAGTTCTCTGCACTAAAAGTGTACAGAATGGTGATTTACATGGAGTGATGCTAAGCGAAGCTATGCTACGTTGCTGCAGAGCAAAGGTAAGCTCCACCCAGTGACATCATCACCCTCGCAGTGCTTTCCCCCCTCATACTTTAATCTACAATAGTCCCTCATTTATCGTGGGGGATCCGTAATCTGAAGCCCCGTAATAAGTGAAAAAATGTGAAGTAGGAATAGTAGTACAAGTAGTAGTTTATTTTAGTATTTATATATGTATATATATATATAAAGTTGCTTTAAACCCTTTCAACACTTTTGCAATATTCTAAACAATGTTTCTAAACGCTCTAAAAGGGCACAGAAAGTCATGATTTCAGCTCTATGCCTCGGCTGCTCTTTGCCACCTGCAAGCGCTCTCGGCCACGCCCACGTCTCCACGCTGCACGGAGATCAGCTGATCAGCTGCACGAGGAAGCTTATCCTGCCGCGTGGGCTGCACAAAGGTACAGCAGGTGCTAAATAATTTAAAATAATTTATTTTAAATAAAAATCCCATGCCGATCGTGCGGCTCATCCATCAATCAGCCAATTGTGGGTCGTGTCCAATCTTATTTGGAAAAACCGCGATGGAGCGAGTCCGCGATAAACCAACTGCGAAGTGAGGTACTACTGTAAATGCCAAATCAGAACATGAAAATAACATGAAAATCCATTTTCACACCAGAAACATTGTAAACAGAAACACTGCAACTCAATTCAGTTTGTTTATACAGCACCAAGTCACAACAGAAGTCGTCTCAGGGCACTGAACAGAAACCTTCATATATATATAAAAAGTAAGTTAACATTATTTATCTGAGGAGCAGACTGCTTCATCGCAGACTCATCCTGAGCAAGCATGAAGGCGACAGTGGAAAGGAAAAACTCCCTCATGAGGAAGAAACCTTTAGTAGAACCAGGCTCAGGACAAGCGACCACTGCTTCAACCAGCTGGGTTTGAGAGGAACAGATACACAATGGCAGGTCGAGACATATTGTGCACGTAATTCCTAATCAGCATGCTTTGTAACCTGCCTCTGGGACGTGACTCACACATTTCAGACCTTTAACACAAACAAAACAAGATTTATTACAGAGACAATATTGATGATGACGCACTGCAAGTTTGTAGTTTATAAAAGTAGTTAACCGCAAAGAGGATCGTCAAAATGAGTTGATTCATCATCGTAAATGAAACAAAGGAGACGTCTGACGTGCACTGAATGCATCACTGTGCTTCAGCACAGCAGAGTTCTGCTCGCCTCTTTGGTTCCGATGGACCAGATTCATTCTGAAAGCCCACCTCTGAACGAGACATGGATGCTTTACCTGTGATTTATGAACCGTTGCGTTCACTTACAACGTTGTCACATTGCACAGTTTTAGAGTCAGCCACAGCTGTGTTTGATAAAAGTTAGAACTGTAGCGTTATTGTTTTAAACTGTTTACTGTAATGGTTTAGTGTTAGCAAAGATAAAATGTTTTAGTTAGCGAATTAGCGGTTAGCAAAACTAACTTTGTTTAGCTGTGCTGTGCCCACCAAATGATTTGGGGTAAAATGTCAGCAGGGTCGCCAACCTCTGCACAGCGAAATATAAAAAAAGTTAAATCTTAGTTGTGGGATACATTATCAAATACCAACTATTTGTTATGTCTACATGAAGTAACCTTAAGAGCATTGTAAGAGTCAAGCATCTGCAAACTCACAAATAGAAACTATTGATAACGCCTGCATTTTGAGGTAATGATATTTGTAAAACTCAAATCAAAAATATTGCAGCTGGGTAATTATAAGTTTTTTATATGCAATACTTTGTCATAACTTCAAATTAAACAGAATAAAATTTAATAAAAGGTTATTACACATCTCATCCAGCAGGAGGTAGTTATTTATTTTCCATGACGCATTTTAAAACTTGTGAGAAAAATTAAAAGCCCTAAGGAAAAATAAATCCCTCCCACATCCCATAAACTTACAGATAAAACTGCCTCGGTGTACAAGCAGTAAATTACAGTTTGGTAACCGTAATTTATACTGTAACACATTTAAATGACTGTCTAACTGTAACTGTAATTTTTGTAACACATTTAAATTATGTTTGTATGTGTTGTTAAACAATGGCTCGTAAATGATGGAAAAGTGTTGAAAATTTGGGTCTGGAGAAGTTTAGAATTTCAAAATTATAAATATGTTGGAAGTCTGCACCAACATTAAAAAAATGATATACTATACCAATTACAGCTATTTTTAAAATAATTCCTTGATGTAAAGTTCAAACCTAATGTCATCTTTTCATTTTTCTTCCCATTAGTTATGTTGCAAGTTATGCATTTACCATCAGAACAGTATTCCCTCGTTTATGCCAGGAGTTTCTGTACCCTGCGCCTCCCCTACCCCTCGCGTGCGATAAGTGAAAAACATATATATATATATATATATATATATATATATATATATATATATATATATATATATATATATGAAGGCATTTTAAACACTTCCCACACTCTTGCAATATTCTAAACAATGTTTCTGAACTCTAAAAGCTCTATAAGAGCACAGCATGTCATGATTTCAGCTCTCTGCCACCGGCTGCTCTCTGCCAGCGCTCTCGGCCACGCCCACTTCTCCGCTGCAGAGC